AGTCCAGTGTTCGCTGCTCCTTGCGGGCCTGCAACCTCCCCTCTCCCTCCGGGACCTGGGGTGGGCCAATGTCGCCCTCGGAGACAGCGTGGCCACAGCCTGACTGCTCAGGATCATGGTTAGGGGCCTCGACGCACCTGGGTCCACATCCCAGCTGCACCTGGAACAAGGTGTTCAATTTGGGGCAAATCGCATCATCTCTCAGAGCCTTGGTTCCCTTTCTGTAAGCGGCGAGAACCTTAGGGATCTCAAGGGATGGCCTCGAGGGGTGCACGGGGTGAGATTACATAAGGACCTAGGTGGCATCCGGCGGGCAGTGATGGGGGGCAGAGCTGCTGGCTCCCAGGGGTGCGTTCCCGCCGCAAACCACTCACCAGGGCTGAGTTGTGACCCCCTGAGGCTGCAGACACTGGACGTGTCCCAGAGCGCCCTTGTCACAGCTCAGCCCCAACAGATGAGCGCTCTGCGTGCTTGGAGTCAGCTGGAGGGGCCCCCCTTGGGGCTTCCCGGCCAGTGCTGGTTCTCCCCAGCTCTGCGAGGGTCTTCTGTGTGGTCTCTCTCTTCCTCCCTTCTTTCCTTCTCTTCTTTTTAAAATTTGGGAGACCTCAATAAATAATTCTAATTTTAAAGTAATTTTAAGAAATCAATTTTAAGAGATTAAAATCTTAATTTTAAGAAACTTCAAGAAGATAATTTCAAGAGATGACGATCACTGAAAATCCCACACCCAGTGTCAACATTCTGGTGCGTTTCCTCCCAGATTTTTTTCTGTTCACAAACACCTTCTTGTTTTTGTTTTTACCCAAAAGGGACCAGACTCTGTGTATTGTTAGGTTAACTGGTTTTCCCAGTCAGTAACCGCTTGAATGTGCTCCCAGGCCACGACCCATGTAGCCACCCAATGTTTCAATGGCTGCATCTTCTTCCCTTGTGTGGGCAGACACACATCTGTTGACAGACATCCGGGCTGGGTTGTGTTTTTTTTTGCTTTGCTCTGATAAACAACACGGCAGAGAACATCTTTGCACAAGCCCGTGTACTTTCCCAACAGTTTCTTAAGATAACTTCCTTTTAGTAGATTGGTCACAGCTCCAGATGGTCTCTTTCCACGGGGAAGTACGGCTTGCTCCGGGTTAGATCTGCCCCCAGCGGCTTCTTTGGCGGCAAGAATGAAAGCCCCTTCCCTTACCGCGCAAGGTCACCGTGGATGCAGTCCTTGCCTGTCCCGCCACTTTCTCGATGCGTTGTCCCTCCTTGAGACCCTTCACTGGCTCGCCTCTCCATTCCGGGGATGCACTGAGACCAGGGCCTTTGCACCCATTGTCACCTGACCCTGAATCCCACCCCCCCAGCTGCTGGGGGGGTCCCCTGGTCATTCAGCCTGACACACAGCTGCTGCCTCCCCACGCTGCTTTGGTCCCATCACCCTGCATCCCTCACCCCTGCCCTGCTCCGGTCCCATGACTCTGGTCCCATGACTCTGCATCCCTCACCCCTGCCCTGCTCCGGTCCCATGACTCTGGTCCCATGACTCTGCATCCCTCACCCCTGCCCTGCTCCAGTCCCATGACTCTGGCCCCATTATTCTGCATCCCTCATCCCTGCCCTGCCTCACCTCAGTCCCCTTTCCCTGTGTGGTTTTACTTCCAGGACCTGTCACTCTCTGAGATGATCTCTTACCCATATTTAGCTGTTATCTCCCACCCCCAGTCCAAGGTCCGTGAAAGCAAGAACCTCATCAGTTCTGTTAACCCCATGTCCCCAACACACAGCCTAGAGCCCGGCACATAGTAGGTGCTCAGCTGCACACCGGTTGGATGACAGACAGATTGCTGAGTTCAGAAATTTGTTCAGAACTCATTGAATGATTTTTTTCAAAACTTTTTATGAAAATTATTTAAACCCTTTATTAAAATGGTTCAATGCCATGCCAACGGACACTCCCTTCTTATGTGTGTGGTAGTTACAACCAACCCAAGGAGAGAATCGGGACCGGAGGGTGAGGCTTAGGAATGGCGGGTGGGAAGGCTGGCTTACAGTTTATCAATCACACCCACTCTTCATCAAACACGCACAGCCACCAACTCGGCCGGCAGGACGGGGCTCAGTCGGCGTTTGAGGTACAAACGAATGGGGACCCACCCGAAGGCCTTTTTGGGTAGCCCAAACCCAGAGGAATTCTCCGCCTGAGACAGTGGATGAGCCTGACACTTGTCACATCAACACCCTCGGCGGTGTCAGCCCGCTGGTCTGATGCGTTAAGAAATACACACCCCATTCAGCAGGGTCTGCTTTTTGCCTCCGAGGTGGATGGGCTGCTCAATGGGGATGCTTCGTAGGTAGCTTGGGGCACTTGTCCGGATGACAGCCTGACTGGCCGTCTTGTCCCTGGGTTGTTTGGGGCCCTGTGATGGGGAGAAGCCACTGCCTCAACTCTAGAATTTACAGTAGTAAGGCAGAGACACAAACCTTGGTATTCTCCCCCAGTGTGGCTTGCCCACCGTGAGGAGTAGCTGAGAACCTTGTGGCTCTGGGTGGCTCTCCCAGACTGTTCATTCGGGCAGAGAATCTGGGGAAATCTTGCAGCCCAAAGGCCTGAGGAGGGCCCTGGAACTTGAGCTTTCCAGAAACCAGCAGGGCAGCCGGGGTAACCCCAGCCCCGGCACGGCCACTCCCCCGTCCGCGGTCTGGTGGGGAGCTGCGGGTGCGGAGGCCGGCGGCCCAGCATTCTGCTCTGTCTGGACGCCTGGCTCTTGCTCACAGCCCCATCTCGCCAAGTGCTCCCATCTGATACATGTTTCAAAAGTTCAGTCCCAGGGTAGCCAGAAGTACAGAGCTGCCATGGGGAGAGGGGGAAAACAACCAGGAATTCCAAGCAGCCTGCTTCCTGAGGATTGCTACCCTTCCCGAGCCGTCTGAGAGGGCAAAGGCCATCTGTCTGGTCCGGCAGTTTCAGCTGGAGGGGAGACTCTTACAGGAAATCATGCTTAAATCAAGGCTCAGCTGTTAATCTTATGCTCAAACTCATTTACAATGAGCAAAATGCAAGTGGAAACTCTGGGTGGATACCATGCCCCACTTTTGAATGGCTGAGCACCAAAAGCTGGATACCATGCCGGGCTGGCGAGCTCGTGGGCTGCCCCGGCTGCCTTACACGCTGTTGATAGGACTTGTCCATTGGTGGGGCCCTTGCGGAGGGCAGTCTGGCAAGCTGTCCAGATCACAAATGCGTGTGTCCTGTGATCCAGCCATCCCACTCCTCGGGGCCGATCTGCAGGTGCTCTCATACATGTGTGGAAAGTCCCAAGGACGAGGCTGCGCTCTGTAGGATTGTTTGCAAGAGCAAAATATTAGGAGCTACTAAAGCTCCATGAGTAGGGACCCAGTTAGCTCTGTTGGAATACTTTAATATGATAGGATACTATCCTGCTGAATACAAAGCATGGGGAGGCTCTTCGTGTACCGCAAGCTGTGCGTCTCACAACGGGGGCTGGCGAGGACGCGGAGCCCCCACAAGCCCCTCGCGTGTGGCCGGTGGGGAGGTAAGATGGGGCAGCTACTTTGGAAAACAGTTGGGCAGCTTTTTAAAAAGGCGAACATACGTTTCACCTATGGACCCAGCGGTGCCACTCTATATCCAAAAGAAAAACGTGTCCCTACAAGCGTGCAACCACAAATGTCCCCAGCAGCATTTTTCATAGATGCCCAAAGTGGAGAGAATCTATATATCCGTCAGCTGGGGAATGACTAAAGAAAACGTGGGCTACCCCTATGATGGAATATTATTCAGCCATAAAAAGGAGGGAAGTACGGATCACGCTGCCAAATGGGATAAGCCTCAGAACCATACTGCTGAGCGAAAGAAGCCAGGCGCTCAGACCGCATATCATATGATCCCGTTCACGTGAAACGTCCAGGACAGGCAGATCTGCATGGACAGAAGTTGCCGGGGCCAGTGGGAGGGGAACGGATTAAAACTGGGCATGAACAGTCTTTTGGGGTGATTCTAATCATCTAAAACCGGTTTGTGGAGGTGACTGAACAACTCTATAAAATAACTCAAAATCACTGGATCGTACACTTTAAAAAGGGTGAATTTCATGGCATGTTATACCTCAGTAGAGCTGGGGTTTCTTAATTTTTATTTATGTATTTCTGTATTGAGTGTGCACGTGCTGGGAAGGGGAGGGGCAGAGGGAGCGAGAGAGAATCTCAAGCAGACTCCATGCTCAGCGCGGAGCCCGACACGGGGCTCACTCCCACAGCCCTGAGATCATGACCTGAGCCGAAATCGAGAGTCCGCCACTCGACCGACCCACCCAGGTGCCCCCATCAGTAGAGCTGTTCGTTTGTTTGTTTTTTTTAAAGCCTTCAGTTAGCCGAAGGCTTTAACTCCTGCCTTGAGAGAATGACTGTTACCAGCTGTGTGACCTTCGGTAGCTGTGTGACCTTGGGTAGTAAGTTCTTGCTTTCTACTGCTGCTGTTTTCTCACCTGCAAAACGAGGTCACTGATGGCACCCACCAGAGGAAGAAGGTGAAAAGGCGTGTACACAGTGCTTTGTGCGGTGCTCGGCACGGCGTCCTGGCCCCGTTGGCGTGCACTGTTTCAGTCACCGCGGCTCAGCGTCAGCCAGATGGCCACCGTGGAGGTCGACAGGTGGTTGCCAACGCCAGGCAGAGGCCTCGGAGGGTGCCCTCGGTTCAGACGGACTGGGGCCAGCGAAACCCAGATGGAGCTCAAAGAAAAGAACTTCACAGCCCGGCCTGACCCAGATTCAGACCCAGGCCCGTTTACAAAGAGAATGGAATCTGCCGGCTCTTCCCGGCCCTGGGGACAGGAGCTGTGTTTCCAGCAGCCGCGGGGAGGTGTCCCTCTGTCCCTCGGCCACGGTTCTCCCACCTCGGGGATGGGGGGCACCCCGCTCTCCCTTCCCAGAGCCGGTCTCTGTAGAAGGCCCTCCCGATCTTTCAGTAATGTGCCCTCTGCCTTCTTTTTCAGCTTGAGGACCGCTCGAGACGGAAAGGCCTTCCGGATCTTTGCTGTCAGGCAGTGAATTTCCAGCGCCGGGGAGAAGGGGGCGTGCGTCTTCAAGAGGGCTTCAGGGTTTTGCTTTTTATTTTGGTCATTTTGGGAGGGGGGTGGGCTGGGGATATAGAGAGGCAGGAAACTTCCTTTGAATGGCGTTCGGTGTCACACCACCCTTTGTGCCTTTGTCTCGAACCACATGGAGAAACGGCGTCCTTGGGGTCCCGGCCGGACAGCTGGTGACTGGTCCTGCTGAGGCCGAGGGTCTCCATTTGTGTGCCCTCTCTGTACGGACAGTCACCAAGGCGTTCCTCCCTGGTGCTTCTCGGTGGGCGGCGGGGAGAGGGTTCCAGGTCCTCAGAGATGGCGGGATTCGGAGCTCACACCGGGGAGGCATGCAGGGGCGGGAAGAGATAGAGTGAGAGCCTGCAAGGCGAGTTTCAGGAATGGAGTAGAAGGTGGTTATTTAAAAACTTTGAAAACACGGTCCATCCCTACCAATGGAGAAAATGGGTGTAATGTTTGCTGGTCAGACACATGGGCTGGAACCAGGGGGCTGGGGGAGCGAGGCCCGGGCCCCACCCTGCCCCCCCCCTTGCCAGCACCCCGCCTCCAGCAGGCTGGTTCTGTAGACAGCAGTGCTGGTTTATTTAGAGTTCCACAGTAACTCCAGAGATTTATCTTGTCTTTGTCCTTCCCTTTGTCCACGTGGCCCGTCTGTTTGCTGCCGTGACCTTTGGTCTCCTTGAGGACAAATGAACCAGGATCCTTTCTTTGCCCCCTCCCCGTGTGGCTCCTGGCCCAGCCCAGACTGGTTTATGCATCACCTTCCCCACCAGGGTCTTTGCTTTGCAAACGGTTCTGTTGGCAACACCCTCCCCCCCCTTTTTTTTTCTCAACTCTTAGTGTCTGTTGGTTCCACTGAGGTGTCTACAAACAGCCAAAGGAGGGCTGTTTTGTTGCTGCTTTTAAAAAGCAACAATGAAATATGCAGAGTCCCCATGCGTCGGATGACCTAGTTTTTAGCAGTGGGAGGAATGGATTCCTGAGTACATTCCTCGCCCAGGTTAGCAGCTCTGGGAAGAAGAACAGTTTGTGGTTATGAAACCAGCCTGCAGTAAAATAGCAAGAGATGGTAACACTCTAGAAGGATTTCTCTTCCTGTTTTTGTGGAACAATTCTTGACAAATCCTCCTCGGGCTCCGAGGAGCGCGGTGCTCTCTGGGTCCCACTTTATAAAAGTTCTTCATGAGCCCAGACCAAAAACCCACAGTGAAATAAAATACCTTTTTGTAAATAGCATTGCTTTGCCGAAGGTGAAATTCTACCCTCCGCCACGAGGCTGGCCGATCTCTCACTTTTGTGAACGCCGGGTTTACATTTGATTTCACCCTCCGTCAAGATATTTCAAAGGCAAAGGAACTAGCAGAGGGTTTAAAAAAAAAAAACAAACCAAACCAAACAAAGCAAAACCAAGATGGTCCGGACAAGGAAGTCTACTTGGGGAAGTAAGCTTGATGTGTTGTTGAGAGCATCTCTCCCTTGTGCACACACTGGAGGTAAATAGCTTCCTTCCTCCACCTTTAGGAATTGGGTAAGAGCAATGCTACCCTTAGCTCAATGGAGCTGGACTTAGCAGAGCTGTTTTTCCTTCGTGCACTGTGGGCTCGTAGTAATTCATAGGTTTTGACGATTCAGCCCCAAATGTCAGAGCACAAGAATTTGGTCAGCCTGTCAGTTATGTGTCTCGTGACAGCCCAAAGATCTGAGTACTTGGAAACTTCTGGATCCTAGGTGTTGTGCTGCTGGACGCTTGCTTCCTCAGCCCCTGCTCTGCCACCAGCCTTTTGTGGTCTGTGGCTTTTTTGGGACTGCAGGGTTGGGGTTTTTAGAATTCGCGACCATCCAGGGGCTCTTCCCAGAAGCATCCTTCCCAAGGGAGAACCTGAAACGTCTGGTGTGAGCGGACCCCATCACGTTTGACTCAAGTCCCCCGGTTGCTGGACGCCTCAGTAACCGGCCGGTCTCACGGGATCGGCAGTCCTCACCCAGAGCCAGAACTCGCTCTCCTCTCTGTACTCACCAACATTTTGCAACTGGAACCATTTTTCTTCTGAAAATGGAAACAAGGCTGCAAAGTCTAACCCCCTGTAATTAGAGACCACCTCTCATTTTGTGTGTTAACAGGACCCATCATGCCATCGGCACGTAACCCACATAGAAAGATGACAAATCAGGCCAACACTGTTTCTGGGTCTCCTGCCCCCAAAATGAAAAGTTCTCGTTTCCTTCAGATTTCTGCCCCATCACGTTCTGGTTTTCATATTGTCTGTAGGCTCACTCAGCCCACAGCTTACATGTGTGCTTTTTTCTATGAAAAATGATGTATTTTACTACTTCCTATGTACAAAAGTTTATTGTAAATTTGTGTGTGTATGTGTGCTTTGCATGAACAGGGACCACGTTGCTGTCGTTTCAATAAAACTGGTTTGATTTCTAAAGTGTTTCTGTGACGTATCTTTTTTGGACAAATCTGAACAGTTTGCGAAATAAAACGTTTACAACCCCCCTCGAAGGCTCTTGGCTGTTTTTTTTTCGGAACTTCTACTAGGAATGTCACACCGAGGCAGGGAGATGCTGACCCCTGCAGTATTTTCTGGCGCCTCGGGGAAACCTCCATCCGATAAGCAGGAAGAGATGAAGAGATGTTGTTTAATGTGTGCAGACTGTGTATGCATGGGGTGGGGGCGGGGAGCTTGTCAAAATGCAGATTCTGGGGGTGCCCAGGTGGCTCAGTTGGTTGAGCGTCCGACTCTTGATGTTGGCTCAGGTCATGATCTCGGGGTCGTGAGATCGAGCCCCAGTCAGGCTCTGTGCTGGACATGGAGCCTGCTTGAGATTTTCTCCCTGTCTGCCCCTCCCCTGCTCACACACGCTCTCTCTCTCTAAAAAAAGAAGAAAGAAGGAAAGAAAGAAAGAAAAAATACAGATTCCGGTCCAGCGGCTCTGGGCTGGGGCCCTAGAGTGTGCATCTCTCATGAGCTCCTAGTGACGTGAGTGCTGCTGGCCCCCAAGCATACCGTGTGTGTCAGCGAGGAGTCTGCTCGGGCGCCCACAACAAAGCAGCTCAGACCTGGCAGCTTCCACAATAGAGATTTATTCCCTCCCAGTTCTAGAGGCTGGAAGTCCGAGATCAAGGTGGCAGCAGGGTCGGTCTCTCCTGTGGCCTCGCTTCTTGCTTGCAGACGGCCACCTTCTCCCTGAGTCCCAGACTTTGGGCGAGCACCCCTAGTCCTACTGGGTCAAGGCCTCACCCTTATGACCCCCATTGAACCTTAATTAACTCCTTAGAGGTCCTGTCTCCAAATATAATCATGTTGGGAGTTAGGGCTTCCACATCTGAACCTGGGGGGGGGGGGCACATCAGCCTCTTTTGGTGATTGCCGTCATGTGTCCCCGGGTGTCCCAAGCTGCTTAGCCATGGGGGGAGGTTCAGGGGCTTGGCTGATCTTTACGTCTTACCATTAACGCTTCAGCCTTTATATTCTCAGCACCCCGTTTATGTTCTTTCCATTGATGGTGAGGATAGCTTTTCTCTGTAATGTGTATACCTAGGCTTTGAAAATGTGGATTTAAAAATATTGCATGAGCACTTAATGCAGCTGGATTGCAAAAATCACAGACATTGGATAATGACTGATGTCTGGTGCACACCGGTTTCTGACAAGTGCATGGTGAAATCCACAGAAATGACCCTGTTGGCAGCTCCCTGCAGGGCATTGGGGGGGGAACCTCTCCTGCCACCCCCATCCCAGATCTGCAGCCTCTTTCTCCTGCAGCTGATTTGGTCCCTTTTATTTCAGATATGATGTTTTTCCATCCTAGAATGTCCATCTGGTTCTTTTCCTAATTTTCTAATTCTCCATGAAATTTTTCTTTTTTTTCATTTATTTTGAAGATATTTTCCTTTATGACTTCAGCATAGATATGTCAGCTAATTCCTATGTCTGGGTCATTGTGGGATCACTCACCATTGATTGCCTTTTCTCTTGAGCAAGAGTCGATACACTTTTTGTTAAAGGACCCAACCAGTAAATATTTTAGGATCATGAGCCGTAGCATCTCTGTCATGAAGCCTCAACCGAGTATTTGTGGTGTGAAGGCAGCCATAGATAGGCATGAATGGATGAGCGTGAGGGTGTTCCAGTAAAATTTAATTTTTTTGAGAGAGAGTGCAAGTGGCGGGGCGGGGCAGAGGGAGAGGGAGAGTGAGAATCTTATGGAGGCTCCACACCCAGCATGGAGACCGACACAGGGCTCCATCTCACGACCCTGAGTTCATGCCCTGAGCTGAAACCAAGAGTCAGACGCTGAACCAACAGAGCCACCTAGGCGCCCATAAAACTTCATTTTTAAAAGCAGATGGCCAGCCTGCAAGGCATCATTTGCTGACCCCTTCTCTTGAGTATGGACCTTGTAAAAACATTTCTTTGTATGTCTAGTAATTTCATATTATATCTTGGACATTGTGCTAATGCATCATGGAGACTAGATGGTTATTCTTTGAGCAGGAAATTAACTTGTCTGGACTCAAATTCCGGACACTGCCCCACTGCAATGTCTGGCAGCTGAAATCATTCAGGTTTTGTTGGTCTTCGCTGCTCTGCTTGGAGTCTGCTCTCTGCATGCCTGGTTCACAGGTCAGCAAGAGACTTGGACGCTCCCCTCCTGTGGCTCTCTCCTTTCTGGGGTTTCCCCTCTCCTTTCTAGATGCTATGCTTTCTGGTTCTTTAAGACTTCAGGCTCTTAGCAGACATTTAGCCAACCCTGCATGGTGCTGACTGGGCCTGTCTTCAGGCGAAAAGTTGAAAAATCTGTGAGACTCATGCAGTGCTATCTCCTTTCCTCCAAACGTTGACTCCTACATTTCCACCTGTCTGCTTCTCTTGATAAGCATCAGGGAGTTGTATTTTACATTTTTTTGGAGGTTATGGTCTCCATGTATAGGATGGTTGGTTAGACTATAGCCCTTCTGCCATTGCTGGAAGCAGAACCCCTGAGTCTGTGACTTAGAAATAGTTTTCCCAGATGTCTTGGCCAATAAATCTCGACTTATACCCCCATTGGTCTGGATTGGGTTCCGCAGCCGCTCCCAGCTATAAAGGAGTTTGGAGATATGTGTATTTTTAACCATGCACAATGTAGCTCCTCCTGGAAAGGGGTCTTACTGAGGGAGAAGGAGGGAAGGGGCCTTGAGCGAGCAAGGGGCAGCCCTCCTGGGAACTTATCACAGGTGCATTAATTTCTGGGGGCCACAGTAACAAATGGCCACAAATCTGGCAGCTTAAACAACTGAAGTTTATTCTTTCACAATTCTAGGGGCCATTATTCTGCACTCTAGATGTGGGCAGGGCTGCACCCCCCTCTAAAGGCTCTAGGGAAGAATCCTTCCTTGCCTCTTCCAGATTCTGGTGGCTGCAGACATTCCTTGGCTTGTGAGCACATCCCTCCAGTCTCTGCCCCATCTTCACATGACCTTCTCCCAGTCATGGATTTAGGGCCACCCTAAATCCAGGATGATTCCATCTCAAGCTGCCTAACTAATTATATCTGCAAAGACCCTAGTTCAAAATAAGATCACATTTGGGGCTTCCAGGAGGTCATGAATTTAGGGGGACACTATTCAACCCAATCCAACAGGTAGAAACCTATCCTGCAGGCTGAGTGACGGTAGCTATTGGGTATCTTATCTCTCTGGACACCTTGCTGGTAGATGCACTGCTGCTCCCTTTTTGGGATTTTGCTCGAGCCCCTTTGCAGCTCTTCTCCATCAGAGCCATGCTCCCAGGATTGCTGAGTAGTGTGGCTTCAATGTCTAGTCTCTGCTCTATCCCCTTTTTCCTCTTCAGCCTCTCTTGACTTGAACCTTTGATATGACACTTGTGAGGGGCAGGAGAGGAACCTGGAGCCAGCGGGTCTGGATTCCAATCCTGGCTCTACCACTTATGATCTGAGAGACCTCGAACAGATTACTGAACCTCTCTGTACCTCAATTTCCTCAAATGTAAACTAGGGATGATAATAGGGTTGTTCTGAGGCTTAAACACGTTAACATAATTTTTTTTTTTTTTTTAGATTTTGTTTATTTATTTGACAGAGAGAGAGCACAAGCAGGGGGAGCTGCAGAGGGAGAGGGAGAAGCAGGCTCCCCGCTGAGCAGGTAGCCTGACATGGGGCTCGATCCCAGGACCCTGAGATCACAACCCGAGCTGAAGGCAGACGCTTAACCTACTGAGCCACCCAGGCGTCCCTAACATCATTTTTTTAAAAAGTGTTTGGAAGCCTGGCACATAATTAAAGCTTTATACATATTAGTTGTTACTGCAACAAATACCATTATTTTAACAAAATGTGTTGTGCTTCCCCAAGATTTTTTTTCCCTCTAAAACCCTCCCCTGGGCCTTCTGGCAGCAGTCCCCACCATCCTGACTTCTACCTCAGGGAAGGGAGGCCCCAGAGGGTCAGTTTTGGCTTTTAAGTTTCTAGACAGACTTTTCTGTTTGTTTTATAGCTTTTTATTTTTACATAATTTCAGACTTGCGGAGAAGTTTCAAGAAGGTTACCAGAATTCCCACATAGCCTCCACTCGGATTCCCCAGACATGAATTAACATATACCACATTTGCTGGATCCTTTTTTTTCCCTCGATTCTTTAAGAGGAAGTTGCAGACACGAGACGCTCTTTGTCTCTAAACACGTTTGTGTGTATTTCCTAAGAATAAGGGCATTCTGTTACTCAGAAGGAGAGATTTCCTTACATAAATCCTGGTGTATTTATCTCAATTGGGAAATTAAAGTGGGTACATTCTGTGACCGAATCTACAGATAGAGACCTTGCTCAGATTGAGCCCACCGTCCCAGGAACATCCCTGTGGTAACAGAAACTATCAAATCACAAATCTCCTTCAGCCTCCATGTCTTTTTAGTATCCTTGACTCTGGACAAGCACCTCCCTGTATCTTCACCTTTTGTGATGTTTTAAAGATTATTGGCCAGGGGCGCCTGGGTGGCTCAGTCATTAAGCATCTGCCTTTGGCTCAGGTCATGGTCCCAGGGTCCTGGGATCGAGCCCCGCATTGGGATCCCTGCTCCGCAGGAAGCCTGCTTATCCCTCTCCCACTCCCCCTGCTTGTGTTCCCTCTCTCGCTGCATCTCTGTCAAATAAGTAAATAAAATCTTAAAAAAAAAATAAAGATTATTGGCCAAATATTCTGTAGAGCGTCCCTCCCATTGAGTTTGTTGGGTGTGTCTTCATTAGGAGATTCTGGTTAGACATTCTGGGCAGGAATCTCCCACAAATGGTGCTGTCCCTATCTCAGTGGGGGGCGGGGGTTGTGGGAGGCACCCGTCTGTTCGTGATCTTGCCATGGATGTCAACTTTGATCACTTGGTAAAGGTGGTGTCTGCCACATTTCTCCACTGCCAAGGTCTTTTTTTTTTTTGTAATAAATAATTATCTTGGGGAGACATAGGTTGAGGCTATGTAAATATCCCATTCCCAATGAAACC